TAAAGTCAAAATGCCTACTTGTGAATAAGAATGGCAAGAATGTAAATTTAATGAGAATAAAAAAAAATGGTGACTTTATTATTTCATAATCTATTTAATTTGATAGTAATGAAATTTATGGACAATTAAGTGATGATGGAGAGTATTTGATCACTTGGGATTTAGGATCAAAGGAAATCTAAATAAGAAAGTGTAAGGAATAATGAATATTATAATATAAAAATTATGAAATATGTTAGTATATTTAAATAATATGTAATATTCTTTATAAATTACAAAAGAGTTGTATTTTCTTAAATTTAATAAATTATTGGTTTTTTTAATTGTTTACGAGATATATAGAATGAAATTTCTCTAGATAAATAAAAAAAATAACTGTGATTCTGAATTGCATAATTTTGGATTATGATTCTTATACATTGATTGAAATTTAAGAACTGAAATTATTGTTATCATTATCAATTGAGTTACATCTATGAAGAAGTGAACAATTTTAGGGAATTATACTTTAGTTTAAATGTTAAAATAGAATGATTAATTTACATACTTTAAGTGGATGGCTATAAATTTATCCAAAAATTAACAATTTTTATAGATGTAAAAATATTGCATTATAAATTTAAATAATATGATACAGAAATAAAATAAATTAATACCATTTAAAATAAAAATATCATAGTGTTTGAAAGTAGAATATATGAGAAACTGATAAAAATTATTAAAATTTACAAAAAGGTACAAAACTAAATATTATTTCATTTCTTTTAGAGATGAGGAATTCAAAATTACATTTTATGGTGATGCTATTTATTTAATATCAGTTTTATTATTTATGGAGTTATTTGGGCAATGGATAAGATGATCAAACATCTTAATAAATTTTTGAAGGCAGTTAAGTTATATTTAAGAAATATATGAGGATGTTCAGGTTAAATTCAAAATTTTTCGATCAAGAAAATACTCAACCAATAATATGGTTTAAACACTAAATTATTTTGAAATTAAAATGAGTAAACAAGTTCTTAATCGAAAATTTTACCAAGAAACTACGAAAGTAATAAAAGATCATACTTATGCTATTAAATAAAAAAGATCAACAAAATTAAATGGATAGTTAAATATTTAATTTATCATCTACATCTGCTAAAATTAAAAGCTATTTGAATTGGCCCCTCTATCTTCTGATAACCAAAATATAAGAATTTCTTACAGAATAGTGAACACTGATAGACAATTTAAAAGAATCAGATTAAAGGAACATTTGGAGATAAATAGAAATACAATAGAAAATGTTATTTCGATAGATGTAATTTTATTTTTATAATATATGATTTTTTCTATTAAAAAATGATTTAAATAACTTAACATATGTTAATTTCAAATAGAAATTAGTTTAGAGTAATTAAGATAAAACATTAATAATTTTTTCATGATCACGTAATTGCTGAAATTATTTTAGGGAGAAAAAGATCTACTTCAAGAACAATCTAAAACTTGATATATTTTATATTCCTTCTATTTTTTGTAGGTTTGCTATTAAACTATCTATAAAACGTCTAAACTAATAATTCTGAATAAACGTAAAGGAATTATCTAAGATTATTGAAATATTCACAAAGCATTCTATTCTGAATATCAATTTAGGAATTGATATTGATACTGTAAAAACACTGTTATTAAAGTGTAGGAATAATTAATTTAATTTTTTTAAAGTTTAGATATTCAATAGAATATTTTAGATCATAAGCAATTTAGTTGAGATTACTTAATTTTTCAATAAAATTTAATGGGAATTAGAAACTGTATATTTAAAGGAATATAAAATCAATCTAAAAATGATGTTGATAAAATTTTTTGGTAACCATT